AGACAGACAGACAGACAGACAGACAGACAGACAGACAGACAGACAGAGCTCCTTGGATGCAGCGCCGGCAGGGGGGGGGTAGTCGTCGAGCGTTTCGTACGAGCTTGTCTCTTCTCAGAGCCCGCGATGGATTTCCCGATCCAGTCCAAATACGCCTTGAATCAATGTCAATACCAATGGGCCCCAAAGGGGCCCCAATGGGCCCCAAGGGGGCCCGCATGGGCCCCGAAACGCTCCTCGCATGTGTCCGAACGGAGCCCGAATGGGCCCCAAAGAAGCCCGCCGCCGATCCCAAATGGCCCAGAAGTGGGCCCGCCGCCGGCCCCAACTGGGTCCGAAAGGGGCCCGCCGCCGATCCCAACTGGGCCCGAAAGGGGTCCGCCGCCGATCCCAAATGGGTCCGAAATGGGCTCGCCGCCGATCCCAGACTGGTCCCAGAAAGGCCCTTGCCGGGTCAGCGCGGCCTTCCCAGATGTGCCCAGAACCAGTTTATCGGGGACCAGCAACTTCGTCTGAACCGCCGTCTAAGAGGGTAGGGCCAAACCTGTTGAGGTTAGGCCCTAATTCATCATGATACCGCGCCCGCCCGAGTCACCGACCCACACTGAAGTGCCCGCTCGCCAACGTGGCCTTTGAGACGCGCTGGGAGCTTTCCATCGGTAAGCGCCATCGCGTCTGCATCCTCGCAGTCAAACCAGCTGGCCGCTCTGCGCGCAAGCTTGCGCGCGCCAGCGTAGCCGCAGAGATGCCGCAGCGATTACCAAGTAGTCGCCGCAATCGCGACCGCAGGGGTTGTTCAAAACAAGCAGCGGGTGGGAGAGTTGGATGTTTGTCCGAGCAGTGCAGTTGATGACTTCAAGTTCTGCCAGGTGGATTACACCGCATAGATAACACCAAACTGCATCACACAGCGTGCGTTGCGTAGGGTCCACTTCTGCCAGGCAATAACTCATTGTTTCGGGGCCGCGCTGGCGAAGATGTTCTTGTCACAGCGAGAGGACGATGGGGGCGAGGAGGAGGAGGCGACGAGGAGCTGACGCCTCGAGCGTTCGCTCCCGCGGCTTGCCTCAGAAAAGGCGACGAGGAGGCGAGGAGGAATCGCCGACCTCGGAAGGGGTCCGCGTGAGGAGGCGAGTCCGAGGCCCCCCCGACCTCCGGCGCCAAGCTTCTGTCACAGCGCGGGCCCCGAGAGGTCCGCACCCCTTCCCCTGGACTAGTTTTTCATCCCTCCTCCTCCTCCTTCTCCTCCTCCTCCTCCTCCATCTCCTCCTCTCTCCACCCTCCTCCTCCTCCCTTCCCTCCTCCTCCTCCTCCTCCTCCTCCTCCTCCTCTTGGTCTGTTCCCCCTCCTCCTCCTCCTCCTCCTCCTCCAGGATGCGCGCTGAAGTCCGTGCGTTTTTTCATGGGAGGACGGTTCTTCATAGAGTCAGGCAAGTTTGCCTGCACGGCATTCCCCTTCCCCCCCTCCGCCGCCTTTTTTCAGGCAATGCCGGGCCGAGAAGGCGTGCAGGTGAGTCCCGGCTCGCGTGGCGTTTAGCTTCCCTTCGGGGCGTCCCCCCTCCATGCAAGCACACGTGCCAGAATCCAAGTGAAGATCTGCATCTTGTCCCCGAGCCCGCCGAGGCCGAACACGGCCCAAACCTAGCGTCCTGATTGTGTGCACCATGTGATGGGGGCTTGGGGGACATAAGACATGTGCATTTTTTGGGGTGGCACAACGTACAGTCAGACCGCATGGTAAGGATGGGCAACCTTCCCAAGGGTCCCCCTGCATCCCTGTTTCCTCGTTCCATCCTTGGCCACTTCTGTTGGCCGCGCCCTCGCTCGGAAGGCTCCGAAATGGCCTTCCAAGACCCTTGCTTCGGATGTAACTCCTGGGAGGTCACATTCTGATTTTCCCCTGGTCCGAAATCTGGGCTAATCCCACTCAATCCGCGCTAATCCCGCTTAATCCCGCTTAATCTGGTTCTATCCCGCTTAATCCGCCACCCAATTTGGCGTAACAGCTTCCCGATGGGGCTTGATTCTCCCTTCTGTAACTCATCCGACGAAGACCTCCCAGCAGCTGCCTGCTATCCTTGCATCCTCATCGTGCATCCCTTGCGATGCGGGTCGACTGTACCGATCCCACTACTCCGTGGACCTCCCCTTGTGTGCGCCCTGGACAGAGTTGTGATGAAGCGGCCCCAGCTGTGGCGCCCAGGGCCTCCCAGGAGGCCCAGAACAGCGAAGACGAGGGAAGGGTAGCGTTAAGGCGGGCCTGTCCCTCTACTGGAGGAATACAAAAAATTGTAGAAAATAGTCTTGGGACGACTTTCACTTTAAAAATATGGTTTAACATGTTTTGCTTATTTTTCCTCCGACATGCCCGACCAGGAGGCCCAGCACAGCGAAAACGAGGGAAGGGTAGCGGTTTCAGTACCTTGTTTCTTCCTCTGATGTTCGTCGTCGGGTGGTCTTAGAAAGCAATTCACTGCAGCTCTTGGTTGTTCCATGGCGCCCAATTTAGCGTCCATGAGCGTTCACAGTGATCGCAATGCATCTCTCTCATATCGCGCAACTGGGTGCTACTGGGCGTCAATTGGGCACTATCCGGCGCTATGTCAACAGTATTCGGCGCTATTGGGCGCTGCTTGGCTCAATTTGCGTTAGTGGGCGTCGCCCGTTGCTTTTCCCCAGCCAACCTGTTGTTGGGTCTCCGTTTTGAACACAGCGCCCCGCGTTCGTCCTTGTCCTTCTCTTTCCCACCTTCTCCCGCCCTTGCCACTGCCCTCTGCATGGCCACCATTTCAGCGCACCCGGTACGGCGCTTCGTGACCCCATAGAGAGCTTCTCCGCAGGCCTTGGTGACTGCCTGCGATAACATGCGTCCCGCACCATCCGGTACGGCTTTTCATGGCTCTACAGGGAGCTCCACCGAAGGCCCCTGTTGCTGTGACCACGTGCGTCCCGCGCCACCTAGTACGGCGTTTCGTGGCTCCATAGAAAGCTCCACCGAAGGCCCCAGTGGCTGTGATCAGATGCGTTCCGTGCCACCTAGTACGGCGTTTCGTGGCCCCATCCGGAGCTTCACCGAAGGCCCCTGTTGTTGTGACCACATGCGTCCTGCGCCATACGTCGATTCGTGGCCCTATAGGGAGCTCCACCACAGGCCCCAGTGGCTGTGACCACATGCGCCCGGCGCCACCCAGTGCAACGCTTCGTGGCCCCATAGGGAGCTCAACAAAAGACCCCTGTGTCTGTGACCACATGGGTCCCGCGCCATCCCGTACGGAGCTTCATGGCCTCGTAGGGAGCTCCACCGAAGGCCCCAGTGGCTGTGATCACATGCGTCCCGTGCCACCCAGCACGGCGCTTCGTGGCCCCATAGACAGTTCCATCGAAATGTCCAGCGGTTTTGACCACATGCGCCCCGCGCCACCCAGTACAGATTTTCGTGGCCTCATAGGGAGCTCCACCGAAGGCCCTGGCGGCTGTGACCACATGCGTCCCTCGCCTCGCAGTGCGGCGCTTCGTGGCGCCATAGGCAGATCCACCGAGGGCACCCGTGGCTGTGACCACATGCGTCCAGCGCTACCCAGTACGGCGTTTCGTGGCCCCATGGGGAGCTCCACCGAACGCTCGAGCGGCTGTGATTACATGCGTCCCGCGTAACCCAGTGCTGCGTTTCGTGGCCCCATACGGAGTTCCACCGCAGGCCCCAGGGGCTGTGACCACATGCGTCCCGCGCCACCCAGTACGGCGCTTAATGGCACCATAGGGAGTCCCACCGAAAGCTCCAGTGGCTGTGATCACATGCGCCCCGCGCTACCCAGTACAGCTTTTCGTGGTCTCATGGGGAGCTTCACCGAAATCCCCAGTGGCTGTGACCACATGCGTCCCGTGCCACTGCTTCGTGTCCCCATGGGGAGCTCCACCGAAGACCCCAGCGGCTGTGACCACATGCGTCCCGCGCCACCCGCCCCGTAGGGAGCTCCACCGAAGGCCACTCAGTATTGCGCGCTTCGTGGCCCCATAGGGAGCTTCTCCGGAGGCCCCCAGTGGCTGTGACCGCATGCGTCTGCGCCACCCAGTACGGCGTTTGATGGCCCCATAAAGAGCTCCACCGAAGGCCCTCGTGGCTGCGACCACATGCGTCCGCGCCACCTAGTACGGCGTGCCGTGGCCCCAGAGGGATCCCAACCGAAGGCTCCAGTGGCTGTGATCACATGCGCTCTCGCCTCGCAGTGCGGCGTCTCGTGGCCCCACAAGGAGTCCCACCGAATGCCACCCTGTACAGCGTTGCGTGGCCCTCAAGGAAATTCCACCGAAGCCCCCAGTGGCTGTGACCACATGGTTCCGCGCCACCCTTTACAGCGCTCCGTGGCCCCACGACAAACTCCACCGGAGGCCACCCGGTACAGCGTTTCGTGGACCTGTGGGAACTCCACCGAAGGCCCGAGTGGCTGTGACGATACGTGTTCGCGCCACCCAATACTGCGTCTCGTGGCCCGATATGTAGCTCCACCGAAGGCCCTGGTGGCTGTGATCACATGCGTCTCCCCCGTCCATTTCGGCACACCTCTCGCTTGTGTCGTGGCCTGCCCGCAGGGAGCTCCACCGAAGGCTTCGGCGGCGGGGTCCACATGCGCCCCCCCGTCCATGTCGGCATACCCCTCACACGCCTTGTGGCCCCGTGAAAGCTTCCCTTCCGTCGTCCTACCTGCCTTGCGGTACTCACAGTTGCATACGGCTGGGTCCTTCGCCAGGATACTCAGTCCCCCGACGAGAAGACGCGGAGGAAGGTCGGTTCGGCGATTGCAGAGGGTGCGGTTGCGGCGGGGTGTGCTTTGCGGTCTGCGCCGTGGGGCACCACGTTGCCCCCGTGGGGCCTCCTCGGGGCGGGGCGGAGAACCCCATCGAGGTCCCCCCCCCAGGGGTGCGCGCTGCAAGCCGCGCCCTTGCAAAGCCACACCCGCTGGAGTCGCCGATCGCCGGCGGTGGGGCCGAGACCTCCGCGAGGCAGCGGGCCTTGGCGGCGGCCGCTCCCCGCCGCCGAGCGGCTGCGGCAGGCCTTCGGGCGGCGCGCCCGGGCCGCGCAGGCGCAGGCCCTCGTCCCGGCCTCTCAGAGCGCATGGGGAGGGGGAGAGGGGGAACGTTTCGGGGTCGAGGTTCGAGGCTGATGCGGGGGCGGCCAAGAGGGGGGTGATGACTGGGGGGGGGGATCTCATGGCGTGGGCCATGATATTGCCCCAGATTTCATGGCGCCCCTTCTTTTTTTATGACGTCCCTGGCCCCTCCCTTAGGCCGCGCACATGCCGCCGGCCATGATTTGTACCCCCCCTCTTGGACGCCCCCCTCTTGGCCGCCCCAGATGTATGCGGGCAAGGTCTACTTTCAGCTGCCCTGATACGCCCGTTTTGAAACGCAACGCGTGCCGTGCTCAACACGTCCGTGTTAAAACACGCTGCGTGTAGGGGCAGCGAATATTCGCCCACGTTTTGGCGAGCGTACCGCGTCGTACTCACGTTTTCAGTCTACGTGTTGAGCTCCGTATCAGTGCGCTACTTGTTGCGTGTTGCGTATCAGGGCAGCTAAGGGTTACTATATCCATATCCGCTGCGCCTCGAACTTACTGGAGAAGGGGCGCCACAAGGCCGAGGCGCAGTGCATACGTTAGAACACCATGCCTCTCGGGGCCAGATGTTTTTCCATGCCCACTGCGCCTCTGGTTTCTGCAGAAGGGAGCCCGCAACTCCAAGACACACATCGCGCCCGCAGCTTTCAGAAGTTTCCATCGTCCCAGATCTGTCTCGAGGAGACATGCTCAGAGGATCGCGCCGCATTGCTGATGCATCGCCGATGCATCGCCGATGCGGTTCGATGTGGAGCCCGATTCTCTCGACGCCGACGGCGTCGATGCGTCGCCAGGCGACACGCTATCCACGTACCAGTCCCCAAGGGTCAGCGTCGCGAGACGTTTACCAGCCTCCCGTCCCGTGAATCGGAGCGACACGCCAGAAAGTTGCAGGGGGCAGCATGTCGCCGGGGCTGCCGCAGCGGCACTCTGAGCAGAAGCTCCCGACCCTAGGCTGAGTTTTGATGGGCCTGTTATCCACCACCACCACCAGAAGTTGGAGGGGGGAAGGAGGTGGAGGAGGAGGAGGAGGAGGAGGAGGAGGAGGAGGACCCCCTCGCCCTCCAACTTATGGTGGTGGTGGTGGTGGAAAATGGGCCCACCAACTGAGAATGCTGGGAACGAGCAGCGGCAGGACCGCACCGAAGAGGATGGCGAGGTGCGGCCATCTGTCCGCGGGGGTGCGTGGCCGACGCCGCTGGGGGCCCTAGTGCCCGCGAGGGCCTGCGCCCGTGCAGCGCCGCTGCTGTGCCGGCACAGCGCACGATGGCCCGATGCGGCCCCGCAGGACTTGCTGCAGGAGTGCACGTGCACTTGGATCGCCGCGGGGGGTGCTCAGGGGATAGGGGGATACAAGTCGTTGCTAAGGTGGGTTCTATCCAGCCTAACCAGCTTAGAAGGGGGTTGCACGTGCCCTGAGTGACCGAAGGGCGCACAGATCTCGGCTAAGTGGGCGGAGCCCACTTAGCGGAGTTACCTCATCATAGGGAGTTGAGGCGCACGACTGCGATACATCCCCGCATGGTTTGCTGCAGGAGTGCACGTGTACATCAAGCAGTGGCGAATCGTCCTGGCTCGCCTGTAGGCCTACCAAAGTTTGCTCTAGGTACCTTTTGTGGTTTCCACGGGATGTCCTCGGAACACTTTTGGCTGGGACTGTCTTGTTTCAGCACATCGGGTTGATGTTCTAAGAGCATTGGTTCTTAGAACATTTGCGTGTTCTAAGAACATTTCGTGGTAGGCCTATAAGAATGCCGGGACGGTCGGTCCCAGGTATCGTTTGACCGATCCCCATCCCCACCCCCATCCCCTTCGAGACCCCAACCACATTGCCACCCCAGTTGGGGATATACCCCTCGAAACCCGAAGGGAACGACCCATATTTCCATCCAGGGGGGTAAATCGGCCAGTGGGGCCAAGGCCACGCCACTGGGGATGGGGATCGGTGAAACGATACTCAATGCATGCTTCGCGCTTCCGTAGCCGCCGAGGCTCGGATCTAGAAGTCACCCTCCGACATGAGCCAGAGCCAGGCACGAAACAGTTGCGCATCCACAGCTGGAGAGTTCTTTGGTTTCATCGCCCCATCGCCCCCCGTCTACGGCCCCACCGCCGTCCTCTTCATGAGGCGCCCCATGCGCGCGCGCGGAGCTGAGCGAAGTCGGCGCTCGCCTCCGCCTCGCTTCGCTTCGCCCCTCTGGTCGCAGAGAGGGGTCAATCGCTACTCCCACTGCGAGAAGATTTCGCATGGGCAGGGTGTGGATCCCCCCACCACCACAGTCGGGTAGCGGGGGCACGCGTGGAGGGAGGAAGCACGACAAGCAAACGCATTTCTCCGAGATCCGCGCGGATGTCTCGGATCGGCGCTGGAGTCCCCTGGCGGCGATTCGGGCGCCGCCCCTGGCGCGCTCCGCGCGCCAGGGAGGGGGTCGGCGTCGATCCAAGAAGCCCGCGCGGACCTCGGAACAGGTAGGCTTACGCATCTTTCTCGCTCCTTTGTTCAAGAGGGCAAGCCAAGGGGAACAACAGGATAGAGAGCGGAGCAGGAGCAGCAGGCCTGAGGAGGAACGCGGCTGTCCAGGCCCAGATGCCTGCTCCCCTCGCCGACCTTCTCCGATCCTTTCTCCCCTCCCTTCGTCCTCCTTCTTCTCCACTCCTGCCTCCCCTCCCCTCGTTCTCCTTTCCGCGTGCTCCC